TCACTTAGTTACGGGAAGATGCAGAAGAAACTGTTTCCATCAACGGTTGTAAATAATACCTAGTTCAGTTGTTTAGCTCTTGGTTGAAATATCTGTACGGTTAAGATATGAGAACTGTATTGTGCCTACTTCTTGTGGCAGAGAAGAGCCCAGGAATTCTGGAGGACATTGAATGGCTCAGATCAAAGTATAAAGGCACGGAGTTGTAATGCTTTGGGTTGGTGGTTTTTTGTTGGTGTTTTTTTTTTTTTTTTTTAGTTTGCTTTAATTCCATGTCCTATGACTTTGCATCAAGTAAAAATGTAAGTGCTGGTTGACTGACCAGACAGACAGTTCAAACAGAAGAACTTCAGTGCTACCTGCATTAGTAAATAACACTTCTTACTGAGGTTAGCTTAGTAAAATTAAAAAGCGACTTTTTCTTTTTTTGTGTAAATTGTTCAGGTTTTGTTTGGTTTCATGTGTTTGCAGGCTTTCCTGTTAAAAGAAGAAAAAAGAGCTTCCTGTTCACATTAGCTGGTTTTGCAACTTTTTTTAAATAAAAAAGAAATTGGCATTAAATGTGTGTCTTATATTTAAAACTTGTCTAGTTAATGCTCTCAACTGCTATGCCCAGTGTGCATGGGTCTTGGTGAGAATGATTCTGGCTCCTTTCTCCAGAAGGAGCAAACTGTTACATTTTGTCAACAGAGAAATGAATAGGTAGTTTACAAAGACTGCAAAATCTGCGTTAACCCCTTGGACAGGCTTTCTTGTTCTCCTCACTCACTGTAGTACCTAGAGGCAGAAAATGAGTGTTGGAATTGGATCAAGAATTCTGACTTCAGCCTGAGCTTCTGGAGTGGTCTTTGTTTTATCTCCACATGCTTGTAATATGAGTATTAACTTGTTAATGATGTCTGGATGCATTCCAGGTCAATCTCTGATTAGTTTTAACTAACATCTGTCACTGGCAACCAAGCTGACAACCAACTATGTTGTTATTTAAGAAAATAAATGCTTATGTCACTATTTAGAATGCTTTGATTGGTTTGGTACCAGCATATTTAAATTTTAGGAAGAAATAAAAGCTAGCCTTTTTTGAGGAAAAACTGCATATTCAAAATTCAGGCTTAGTAGGAAACTTTGGTTGTGTGGATAAGGTCTTTCTTGACGTTGCAACTGTACAAGATAGTACTTGGGAGTACTAAAGAATTTTATGAAGTTTTAGTCCGCTCAGACTAAGGCAGTAAAGTTGCAACTTGGTCACAAAAACTTGTTTTAACATTGCTTGGGCAATACCAAAAAAATCATAGATTCATAGTGTAGCTGAGGTTGGAAGGGACCTGGAGGTCTCCAGTTCAACCCCCTTCTCAAAGCAGCATCAACTAGAACAGGTTATTCAAGGCCTTGTCCATTGGCTTTTTAATGGCTCTAAGGAGAGACTCTCCACAGCCTCTCTGGCAGCCTGTTCCAGTGACTGATCACCCTCACTGGGTGATCACAAACCTTAATTACTTTGTTTATGTAATGTTGTCATCAGTACTAGACTTCCATGTAAACTCTTTTAAGTAGAAGCAAACAAAATCGAGACTTTTTTTTATTCTATATTTTTTAAAAGGCTAGGGTAGCTTTATTTCTTCTGTGTATTGTTTGTCCTCTGTTTTAAATGCTAGGAAAAAAGCATTTGGGTGAGAATGGTAATGCCAAATCTGTATATGTAGATTCCTCTGAGCAAAGAAACTTAAATGTGGCCAAATTTTCAAATTCTGAACACTTACATACCTTTTTTTTTTTGCTGTCTGGTAGGAATTAGCTTCAGAAGTGTACTGTTCTGAATCCTCCTCTGAATTTAAATGGCATTAAAATAAACCCCAGCAAATTGGTGCTTTAATTTCATAGCTGCTATAGTAGAGATCAAGGAGCCAGAAGACTTCACAGGGAACATAAAGGTGTTATGAAAATCTTCAAAATAAACTTGTCTGACCTAATCATGCTGTTGAAAACTTTGATTTTTTTTTTTTTTTTTTTTTTGGGTAAGCTAACATCATCTTTACTAGTACTTCTTGCCTCTGTATTACCAGCTGTGTTATAAATGTGAGCGCAACTAACTTCTGCAGTTTATCAGCTTTAGATGACTTGTTTGATTTAAAGTTCTTCAAGCTACTACACAATAGGAGATTTCAGACACTGAAAATAAATTGGTAAACTTTTCAGCATGTTTCTAGAGTAATGTTGTAAACACACATGAATTCTTGTAATGAAAAAAAAGGATTTGGAGGCTGGAAAGACGGGAGTTTAGTAGGTTTTTGCAAACTTTTTTCCCCTCATAATTAAGGCATTTCAAAATGTCTTTTTGTTTGCCCTATAGCTAATTTGTCTTTAATTTAAAGCCACATTGGAGTTTATGACTAGGTTAATCTGAAATGTCTGATTGATAGGCCAAAAAAGTAGGGGTTTTAAAGGTTTTTAATTGGGAAGGGATGCTAGTATACCAGTTAAATAATAAGAAAATTAATGGGACAGTTAATTCTCAGTTTATAGCTGTTACCTTGATGGTTAGGTTGGTGTTTGGGTTTTTTTTTCCCCCCAAATGGGATGTGTAGCTGTACGTATAGGCATTATATTCTGATTCTGCCTGAATGGGTGGTGCAGGTGCATGGTGTAGTGCAATCATTTCCTGCTAACAGGGGTTTATAACTTGGGATGTTTAATGGTTTGGAGGCAGTGTCCTTTTGGAGACGGTGTGTAATTACATGGCTTGAATTATTGCTCTTCCTTTTTAAGTATCATCCCTATAGTAAAAGAGTAACAAATGAAATCCTGCAGTTTGTGGTGTTGATATAAAATACAGCTGGTTTCCTTAGTCATGCTTATTCTGAAATTGCTTTTGCTACAATTGTCCAAAAATTATGACTTAAAGGAGAACAGTCTCTGTTGTCAAAAACTAATAATAGTGATCACATACAGAAGCAGCTTGAGGCATTCAGGAAAGCTGTAACACAGGACAATCTGATGAGTACAAGAAGATAATCCTTAGTCCCAAAGGAATGGGCCAGCATGTTCAATGGAGTGCCAAAATACTCTTAGCAGGAAGGGATACAAGCCTGCGTCATCTAGGTGTCAGCAGGCGAAGATATGTATGAGCAAATGGAGTACAGACAGTCTTGCAGTAAGCACTTATGCCATGAGAAAAATCTTTGCAGAAGTATGTTTAGGTGATCTTTAATTCTGTAATTACATTCTAAATTCTTCTGGCCTTCAAATATTTCAATCAGTGACTTTTTCATCTATAGTTTTGAGGTCACACGATTTCTGTCCAACATGCAAACTCAAGACATTATATACGAAGGACAAAGTTGCCCAACACAGTATTTCTCCTTTTTTGTAAGTTCTTCCGTAATTTCTGAAGTTGACTTTTTTGTGAGGTAGGGGAGGAGCAGGAATTTGAAGCTGGTGAGGAAAAAAAAAAAAAATTCTCTTTCCGTACCCTAGCTACTAATCTTTGAGTGGTGACTAATCTAAACACTGCTTCCTTTTTTATTCAGAATTGCATTTCAAGGCATAGTACAGAAATAATCGCTATTTGCATGTGTGTGTATTACATGAAAACATGGTATAGCCGTGAAGTTAACCATCTGTTTTGGATATGGACACATGACTTCACTGAATATGAAATGGTGAAGTGGTGATCATCATACCTCTGATGTTGTGATACAAGTATTTATTGAAGTGCCCTATTTGCTGAAGTGGATGGGAATTAGTTACCTAGATACTTTTTAAGTTTTGGTCATTAGTATTCTCCTTCTCAACAGTAGTTCAGTGTCAATAGTGTGTCATTCTGGTGAGAAACTATGTTCTGGGTTTAGAACAGAACCCTGTATTACGACATTTTCACTTAGGTTTTCATCACATTAATTTTTAGCAAAATCTGTCAAAACAAGTGTGCATTGCATACTTCACGTCAGTGGACAAAGGCAGCATCAATATTAAAAACACACTTCCTGGTTTATTTCCATAACTGAGAGAATATTTGGTTATAACTTAAGATTGTTTTCCCCGTTACAGGTTTAAATTCTAGATTTATACGTGTGTTCTTTCTTCAGCAGATACTAAAGCTGGAGATGAACAACATGGTAGCAGCTTTCTGGCAGACAGTTGTATGCTATTCAAAAACGGAACATGCGTAACCACCATCTCCAAACAGGGTAAGAAATTACACTCAAAATGTGTAATTTCTTGTATGTTTGCTGGAATCAGTAACTGAATCAACCAGTTAAACACATGAAACTTAAACTATATATAGTATGCCAACTGATACAATAAATGTCAACTATATAAAATATCAACTAGTTTTATTATGAAGGCACTTTTATTGAAAAGCAAAGCAGCATTAAAAGTAGACACTGGGCTAGGTCCTTATTTGTGAATGTTCATTCTGTATGTGTAAAGGAATCCAGTGCCATCTTAGTGAAGCCTGAGGAAAACAAGAATGAGAAAACCCCTCACCCTGTCTTCTGCTGTCCAAGGTGGGTAACATAATGAAATCAGACAGGACTGGTGCTGTAATCAGTTTCTTGAGTACCACAGTTACTTTAGGGTGGGTAAAACTGATGATGACAGGTAGAGCTAGAGGTGTGTAGCTAGAGAATAAGGTCATGTATTGGCAAAGTCACAAGCAAACCCTTTTGTTCATAACTGCTTGTCAGCTTTATACAGTTTTTGGACACTTCATCATGTGAGTTTAAGCAAATGTGACTGCAGTGTAAGATCTATGCAAATATAATACAGGATTCTATTTAAATATTTAATTTTCTAGCTACTGAAAATGTTCCATTTTCAGCAGATTTTGTTCCATTCCTTGAAACTGGTCATTTTTTGTCTGGCACTCTACTATTAGTGCAAATTCTCACTCCTGTTGGAATTTTAAAAATACAGCCTCAGTGAAGCTGTTGATTAACTCACAAAAGCCTTGACATAAAGGGACATCTTCCCCCGCCAAGACTCTTAGAACAGTTTTGTTATGTCACTTTCTTAGTAGCATCTATTTCCTCCTCCTCCTCCTCCTCCTCTTCATCTTCCTCCTCTTCTTCTTCATCTTTTCTTAGCATGCTGCTGGAAATCTGTTAAAACAAAAATCCAATGAAAGTAAATCAAGTGTTTGTTCTCCTGAAAGAAAAACCACCTTCTGCTGGCATTTCCAGTCTAAGTACTTGTAGGTTTTTCATTTAGGGGGAGGTTTATCCCTTATCCTGTTAACTTCTAGTAACATGCACAATGCCAACAGAAAGATACACGGCACAAGAGACAAAAACAGTAACGACTTCTGAAAGCTAAAATCATCCCCATAGTCCTGAGAACTATTACAGGATAGGGAAAACTGCATTGATCAAATTAATGCTAAAAATCAACAGGATGCAAGTCAGTATTTTTTCTGTGTTGGCTGTTGAGACAGCAGGCTGAAGATGAGTATTAAGGCATAATCTTATCTTGAAGACATCAAACCCTCTTCAGTTAAATGAAAAACTCAACGCTATGCTGCTTTGAGCTTTTTTAAGAATAAATTTGAGAAACTTTACTAGAAGAGTCTTGAATCATATATGAACTTCTTTCCCTGCCTATCGGCACTTGCCCTTCAGGATGATGCTATAGTCCTTTTTTGGTGCATCAAATGTTAAAAACAAGTGCCAGCTGCCAAGCTTTCATCTTATCTGACACAGTCTGTACTTTTTTCTAATGAGGGCTCAATCTAATTCCTATTGAAGATAGATTCTTCACAGAAGATGCAACATTTACAATTTAATGTAGAATATACGTATTTTTTCTTTCCCCATGAGAAAAGGAACATTAAGCTCAAAGATAGTTATCCAAGTCATCTGGAATGCTTTTGAAAAATGATTTTAGGTTAAAGTTCAGCAGTTCTCCAAGGGCATCTGCAGCTCTAATTTTGGTTGTATTTTCTGAGTTTTTTCACATAGAGTAATATAATATAACTTCAGTACTGAAGACAAAACTTACCCTTTTTTTTTTTTTTTCCCCCCTTAAACAACCCCCTATTTTAAAAGTCCTTAAATGCTGGTTATTAGATTGACTTCTCAGATTTCATAATTCATACAGCTATGTATATAACAAAAGGGGTTTTGTGTGTGCATAAAGCAAACGGCAATCATTGAACTAATGAAAGCAGAAAAATCCTTAGTCTTGTTGATGCTCACAAAGTACATAATTTAGCTTGAAGCAAATGCTTGCTTTCAAATCTCTGAACATAACAGAAAATGGAGTTAATCATCAGATGAAGCTGGGTTAACTTGAGTCTAAATGCCTAAACCAGCAATCTTTCATTCTGTGAAAGAAGAAAAAGACAATGGCACTGATTTGTAATTGGAGATTACGGAGTGCTGCAGATTGAGCCTGTTGAGGTAGCTTCATTTCAAGGGATAGGCTAATTTTCCAAGTTTTTTCTAGTTTCTAGCATCTGAAATTCTTAAGCAGAACTTCAGTCATATATCTGAATAAAAGCTCCCCCTTCCGCTTTCCTGAAGTAAGAGGTGCTATTTTGGCTTTAAGGCTTTTTTTCTGCTTACTACTCAAGTACTTCTGACCGTGCTGTAATTAACTAAATAGTAAATGAAATATTATCACTGGTGGCAGTGAGGTGGTGGTGAGACGGCTAACCTAAGAACCAAACTGGATCACAGAGTAAGGAAAGTGAAAAAGGAAATCAGGCTGTTTAAATCCATGTTATTTTGCCACAAAGCTGGAACATACCAGTACGTGAAAATTTAATTTTTGATTACTTAATGCTGAAAAAAAAATTTAAATAATTTAATTAAATCTGTTAATTTGTCACCCATTGTAATCAATTTTATGTGAAAATGAATTATTTAAGTTTGCACGTAGGTGATGACTGTCCTTGCTTAAGCTGGACTACAGGCAGCATGGCATTCATCTCGTGTCTGACACAGCGGGCAGTGTTGGAATCCTGGATGCAGACATTTTCAACCATGGTTAAAGCGATACTTTGCTGTCTTAAAGGGCAGGTGCAAAACAGTTGGCTGTATTAAATGGATGTGGATAAAACTTGTGTAGTCAAGTTTGATTTAAAATATCTGGAAAACATCTGGAAAAGGTCACTCTCTTCTGCTACAGTTCTACCAACCTGAATCAGTAAAACAAAATGCTGAAGATAAATTGCCAAGTAAAGTGCAAACTGAAGGGATTTACAAAGGATTGTCATGAAAACTTAAAACAGCCTTTTCAGAACTTGTGTAAAAGTAAGTATCTGCAATAGTTACGTTTAAAAAAAAAAGCCCTGAACCCCTAAAGAGGTTTTCTCATAATGGGGAGGCATCCTATGAAATACAGCTTTCCTGGTGCATAGATATTTTCTCTCCTGATGATATTAATTGCATAGAAATGAAAAAAATGCAAGTCTTATTGTTGTACTGTCAGCGCAGCTTGGGACTTTAATTCTTTCCAACACAATTGCCCATTTCTCCTTTTTTTGTGGTTTTATAGTAGTCTGCTAAATAAGTCTGGCAAGTGCGGTGGAGCAACTAGCATCTCACTTGCTTCAGCTAGTCCGAATGCGAGTTGAACACAACTATGAAAGTCAAGCGGGAA